CCAAGATGGAGTCTGAGATGGATTGAGATGAAGTCCAAAATAAAGTTCAAAATGGAGTTCGAGATGGACCCAAAATGGAGTCTGAGATGGAGTCTAAGATGGACCCGAGATGGAGTCTGAGATGGAGTCTAAGATGGACCCGAGATAGAGTCTGAGATGGAGTCTAAGATGGACCCGAAATGGAGTCTGAGATGGACCGAGATGGAGTCCGAGATGGACACGAGATGAAGTTTGAGGTGGACTCGAGATGGAGTCTGAGATGGGCTCGAGATGGAGTCCGAGATGGACCGAGATGGAGTCTAAGATGAAGTCCGAGATGGAGTCCAAGATGGACCCAAGATGGAATTCGACATGGAGTCCGAGAAGGATCTAAGATAGAGTCTGAGGTCGAGACCAAAACCGAGATCGAGACCAGGATTGAGACCAAGACCGAGGCCGAAACCAAGCCTGAGCTCGAGTCCAAGTCTGAGTCCGAGTTTGAGTCTGAGTCCGAGTCCGAGTCCGAGTCCAAGTCCAAGTTCGAGTCCGAGTTCGAGTCCGAGGGTGAAAGCCCAAAGCGTTTGTCTCTCAAACCCTAGGGGCTTTGGCGAGTTCCAAAAGTATAGTAGGGGGGAGGACTCCAATGGAGCCAGGTTAAAGGGGCTATGGGGGGTTCTAATTTTATAGTAGGGATAGTAGGGATGGTGGATAGGTTAGATATGGTTGACTAACTGAAGGCATAATTTAGTTTTCATTTGCATGCCTATTTTTATTCTACAACTAACTCAGGTCTAAGCCTAAGTTTCATACCATGCTAATTGGTGGAGTACCCATATCTTTGCATTAGGCCACTAGTATACTAAAATAGCACTAAACTTTATTTAAATCCATTTTACGTATCTGTCTTGGCATTGGGATGTTAAATGCTTTAGAATTGTTCTAAATCACTTTGTGCTCTTGTTCCTTCACTCCTTGGGCTGTACACTCAAGAATCACTCCATGTTTCAATACTTTTGCTTCTTGGCTGTATGTTTATGAGTTTGGTTCTGTTCCTTCATTCAGTGAAATAAAGCTCTGAAACTTGGGTTCTACCCTATTATCCTTAAACACAAGACATGTGGCACATAAAGGGTTTAGGTTCCACTTCATTTTTATCCTATAGTGAATTACTATAGAATAAAAAGTGAAAACCATATGCACTACATTAATATAAAATTTGTTATTAGGTAAAACTTTTAATAATAATATTGAACTTACTTCTCTTGGAAGCAAACTTTATTGTATCTTAAAAAAAAAGATTGGTAGAAATGAGTTTTACCTCCTCAATTCATATAATTGTGCACAACTTCTAGGGGTCGGTTCACTCTTAAAAGTACGTTATTATTAAAGTTGAGAACATTCAATTAGTTTTCAATTGAAATACTTTCTTTAGCTTGGTATTCTTAAGTGGGTATAGAAAATCACTTAACTCTAAAAAAAAAGGAAGTATAAAGCCAAATTGCAAAGAGGAAGTAAAGAAATAAATATAAATAACAACTAAATAATTGTTAATCAAGAAAAAAAAAGTTACTCATTGTATTGAGTTCATTCTATACTCTTTTAACTACAACTATACAATTGTATTACTTTATAAACAAGTACAATATTTTTTATAAAAGTAAAATATCAATAAAATCAATAAAATAATCCTAATTTACATCCTAAAGATCAATTTAGAGAAGTTTTGGGTCATGTTGTAGTGGTAAAAATCAAGTAAAGAAACTTGAATTATGCAAAAAAAACATATGCTACACTTGAGAATTTACAATATAATGTGTTGAATATTATTATCTTAAGAGATAATGATATTAAAATTTTGTGATAATATAAATATTAATTAAAAGAAAATAAATCAAATTTTAATATGGACTTCATTTTGAATAGAATTCTCGACACCAATATTAAAAGTGTTTAAGAAAGTAATTGCAGCCCATGTTTACTTTTCAATAACTTTTTATAGGTTTAGATTAAGAACTGACATTTGTTGCTAAATTATTAAATTTAATCATGCAATATTAACACATATTTTTATATATAATATTCTTAAAATGTAATATTTAATACTTATGTTTATGTTGTAAAGAATTTATTTTAATATAAAAATACATTTGGAATTCTTTGGAAATCTAGAATATATATTTATTAAATATAAAATGACTAACACGTCAGCAAAAACTTTTAATAAAAACTAATTAATTTGTTAAATAATTCCTAATTCTCTTGAATAATTATACTAAAAATAATTTTGTATGAATTGTATGTAACAATGTTTGATTTGCTTAATATTAGTTTATTCCTACTTAATTTATCAAATAAAAAATTTATAAATATAAGCATGTTTGTCATTTATAAACACATATTTAATCTTATTGCATATCAACCATTAGATGATAGAATAAAATAGAATATACTTGAAAGTGTTTAAGAAACTTTATAAATTATAAACATTAAATCTAAACCTTGAACCCTAAACCCTAAACCAGTTTATAAATTATAAATACAAGATTAATCTAAATGACTAAGAACCATTAGATGGTAGAATATCCTAGAATATTCAAGTATACTCTTGGTATATCCACTACCATCCCAGTCCCCTTGCAGGTTTGCTTAAGCTAACCAAAAATTGATGAACATTAAGTCTCTATTATCCATTTTATAATATATGATTCACTGCTATATTGATATATAAGTTTTTGAAGTGATTTTGCTCTTATTATTTTGCTCAACATATATGTTGGCCATGGTGATGGTGGTTCACTTTGTTTATCAAGGTTAAAATTCAATCAATAAAAAAATTATCAGTATTAGAATTATGTTTGTATAAACATGGTTAAAATCCTATAACTTCATATTGATAAAAGATAGTGCACTAGAGAGCTTTCTTTCTAAGGAGGTAGATTCCATTTGTTAGTAAAGAGGTGATCCTCTTTACTACTAAAATTGATTTTTAAGCTTTTACTGTTACATTAAAGCATTTAAAAATCACCATTTCAAACTCTATTGGTAGTTATAATTCAAAATCCATATTATAAACTTTTTTGAAATTCTATTGATCTCTTTCTTCTTATTTAGAATGCTAAGCACTAATTCGAGGACTTTAAGATAAGTCTGGTGCTAAATTTAGAGACTCTACAAATACCCGCTAGCATGAAAAACATGAAAAATACCTTGAAAATGTCTTATAAGTTTTCATTTTGCACTCTAGCATTGGCAAAGAATTTCAAAAACACCAGGACATAATTATGGTTTAAATGCCAATGATAAAAAGTAATATTCTAATATTATGATAAAGCTCATTGGGCACTTTTGAAGAATTTGATAAAACTTTGAACTGATAAGTAAAATACTTTAAGAAAATATATTTCAAACACTTATTTAGTCATTTTTATGTCTATTACCAGGTGGGAGCTACATCTGGCAATACTAGGTCATCATTATTAAATTACATCTTTCAACAATAAAACTTATAAAACTTTGTTTCTTTCAGTTTCTCTTTGGGTTTCATGTAGTAAACAGTTAACATATAGTATTAGTGATAATTACAACAATAAAAAACTTTAAGAACCTAAATGTATACTTGGATATTCTATAGTGATAATATTTTTTAACTTCTTTTAACCATTTCAATATATATGAAATAGCACCATTTATTGAAATGTTTGTTATTAAATAAATTGATTTTAGTTTATGAAACACACTTGCAAGGGAATATTTTATATATATATATATATATATATATATATATATATATATATATATATATATATATATATTTTATTAATATGTGTATATGCTCATATCTTCTAGCATATCTATAAAGATTTTTCAGTATTTCAAAATTGTTAGTTGCGATCATATACATGTTTTTTAATTTAATATTTTCTTTTTCTTTAAATAGTGATTGTCAAATAATTTGTGGTTTATATATAGTTTAACACTGGACAGGAAGCATGACAATTAAAGCTGGAAAGCTAGATCAAGGAATCAGATGCAGATCCAGATTAGGATACCTGGCAGGGTTTTTATTTTATCTTACATTGTCGACGCAAAAAGTATGGGCCTCATTCTTTCGGAGGGGTTGAAGTCACCGCTTTCCCATCCAAAAACTCCGAGTGCAGGATTTCGGCGGATCCAGCCAGTTCCGCTCTCCCTAGTTTCTGGCTCAGGCCACGATGATCAGTGACGAGACCACACAGTACGAGTTACTGAGGAGCTTCTTGGAAGGACGGCCGGTGTTTGAGAGCTGTATATGAAAACTAGATTCCAGGAAGTAAAAGAATTGTGTACCTTTCAGGAAACTTTAACCAAAAGGTGAGTATGAACAGAACAGTGAAGATTGCGTGCGTGCCAGGCGAGTCATAACATGGCCTTCCATTCCATATCTCATGCCAAAGTTCTTAAGTACTGACACACTTGCAACACAAGTTCTTTATTTTTCCCTTCCATCTGATGCCCACGTTTCATACTAGGAAGGAAAGCCAAAACAAAGAAGACACTCTTGACTTGCTATCCCGAAGGATGAAACTTGGCTGCCAACAGAAGGGCCTTGTCACTATAAATTTCTTCCACGCAGCTTGCCAGTCCCCGGTCGATCTCACAATTGAAGAAACACTCACGAATTTGGAGGATTGCGAGCAAGAGCTTTAAAAACATGCCGGTGTTGCGTTTCCATCGCTCTAGTTTTGCCAAAGTCTCGAATTTTTAATTTCGTGTGTAGCGTGTGGTGGTTTTATCAAGTGGGCAACAACGACCACAAAGAATTGATCGATTGCTCAAAGCTTTCTGGTGGGCATGTGATGAAGTGGTGGTTGCTGCAAAATACCCCCAACAACTGAAAAGATTGGACCACTGTTTGTTCCTCGACCACCGAAATTCCGGGTAGAAATCTTATCCGTTGACTCTTTGATGACCATCGCTGACCTCCATTGACCAGAGAAAAAAATAACATGGTCTCTCCATTGTCTCTCTAACGAAACAACGACAACATGGTGTGTCCGGCAAAATGCTTTACAGCACCGTCTTCTCTGGCGGGCTCGGATCTCCATTAAATGCCCGCGCAAAGATATATCGCCATAGAAAACAGGGGAGCTCTGCAGAGAGCATGGGCGAAGCATTGCTGACAAGAGTGCCTTAAGAATCGCGCTCGTCTCTGGCAGTAGATAGATTGATAGATAGTTTCGCGAGCGATTCGCGCTCGCCCACCAGGGAGATTGGGAGATTCGAGAATCGCCATCTTTTCTCCTCTCTCTTGTCTTCTTCGATCGATGATCTTCAACCAAAAGTACCACGGGAGGAAGGGCGCGTTGCAGCGGTGTCGATTGTGGGTGCAAACGCTGGGCCGGGATATGCAGAAGAGCGGAGTTTACAGAAGCGTGACCGAGTACGTGCCGATGATCACGGGAGCAATCCTGACACTGCTTCTGTTTTGGAGCTTCTTCGTGTCACCTCTGCTCGAGGCCGCTCAAGAGCACGTCATTCAGCACGAGGACAAGAGCAAGGCCACCGAAGCCGGGAGGCACACCCTCTCGGTGGATGGATCATCGAGGCAGAACTATGGTGGCGGGCATGGAGCCGAGGATTTCATGCCGGAGAGGACCGACATAGAGTCCCTGCTCAACAAGACGCTGTCGATCGATCCGCTGCTCAACACCTCCTTCACCCTGGGCGCCAGGATCTCCGACTGGGACGAGCAGCGGCGAGCGTTCCTCGAGAAGAATCCCGACGCCAATGTGGATTCCTCGGGCAGGCCAAAGCTCTTCATGCTGACGGGATCGCAGCCCGGCCCCTGCCACAATCTCATGGGCGATCATATGCTCCTCAAGGCCGTCAAGAACAAGATCGACTACTGTCGCATCCACGACATGGAGCTCTTCTACAACATGGCCACCTTCAGCCGTGACATGCCCTCCTGGTGGGTCAAGCTCCCTCTCATTCGATCTTTCATGCTCGCACACCCCGAGGTGGAGTGGCTATGGTGGATAGACAGCGACGCCGTCCTCACCGACATGACCTTCCAGTTCCCATCGGAGCGATACAAGGACTACAACCTGGTGATCCATGGCTGGGAGCACCTCGTCTATGGGGAGCGTAAGTGGACTGGTCTCAACATGGGCATCTTTCTGGTGAGGAATTGCCAGTGGACGCTGGATCTCTTCGACACTCTGGCGCCGATGGGCTACCGCGGCGTCGTGGGCGATCGAGTCGGGAAGGTCCTCACCATGGCTCTCTCCGGCAGGCCCGAGAGCTTCGAGTCGGACGACCAGGGAGCTTTCATCTATCTCCTCAATGCCGATCGCAACACCTGGGGATCCAAGGTCTATCTCGAGAACTCCTACTTCCTCAATGGATACTGGAAGGATATCGTGGACAAGTATGAAGGCTATGTGGAGAGCAGCCACCCGGGATTTGGCGACGATCGATGGCCTTTCGTCACGCACTTCACCGGGTGCCAGATTTGCAGCGGCAAGATCAACAACGTCTACACGGCGGAGGAGTGTACGGCACAGATGTCGCGGGCGCTGACGCTGGCGGACAACCAGGTGCTCCACTCGTACGGATACGCGCACCCGAGCTTGGCCACCGCCGAGATCGTCCCCGTCGACAAGAAGGATGCCGGCGACGACCATCATTGACCGGCATTGACCCTCTGTTTCTCATGCGCTGGATGGATTGGAAGCTTACAAGCGGGGCAGCTGAGCGCTTTTCTCCTCCGTGCAAAGGACGAGCAAGGCAGAAGATACCAAGTGAGCGATATGACCTTCTCTTTTTTCTTCTTTAGTTCTATACGAATCCAGTTGATAAACGCATCAAAGAATCAAGATAGTAGGCAGAGCCAGCTGCTGCCAGCCAGTTTAGCTGTGCGCTTTAGAAGAAAAAACTGTACTCGTTTACATGGAACAAAAGTACTGTCTATACTCTCTCTAGACGACTCCGGCCTCCATTGCTACAAGAGTAGCAGTATCTACTCTAGAATAAGTTCTAAATTCCAGCCAAAGAAGAGGAGGGATGGATAGATGTGACTGGGGATTCTTCTTTCACTGTTCTAGCTTTTCAGGGAATAGACCTGTAGAAGAAGCCATGGCTGGAAGCAAAATGCCAAAGCTAAAAGATTGGAGGTGTAGGACCGAAAGAAGGAACCAAGCAAAAACAAAATAGCTAGTTCTTGTGGACCAGTCAAGTTGGTCACACATTTACTCGCCACTGACGTTTTCACAGCGGCATTCACCGACGCGGTTAAAAAACACAAAAATTCGCCCGGTCAAGCAAGTCGCTGACCGAGATGGTCAACTACTTTCAGGTAGGTCATGAAGGAGGCATGGGGCGGCCCAGATCGCGCACACGTGTCCTTGTATAGAGCGTTGGATCTCCTCTAGGGATTGCCGCGGAGGAGCTGGGCAACAGGCGCCAAGAACAAGAGAGGTGAGTGTGCGCTAGCTATGGATGTTTCAATCGATCGAATCGATCGTAGGGACAGCTATGGCGCATCCGTCGCTGGATTCCACCGTCGACAGCCTCTTTGGCGGGAGGAGCCCAGAGGATTTCTACGCCAAGCATGGCGTCACGCACGGCGAGAGGATGATCACAAACGCCCGAGGCATGGCGCAGTACACGCAGTCATGGCTGCCAACGCGGGAGAGAGTTAAGGCACTGGTGATGGTCTGCCATGGCTATGGCGCCGACAGTGGCTGGTTCGTGCAGCTCACAGCTATCGGCATCGCGCAGAGGGGATTCGCCGTGCACGCCATCGATCACCAGGGCCATGGACGATCCCAGGACTGGCAGGGACTGCGAGCTTACGTCCCAGATATCAATCCGGTGGTGGACGACTGCATCGCATTCTTCGATTCCGTGCGATCCCAGCAAGAGTTCCAGGGACTTCCGGCCTTCTTGTATGGAGAATCGCTGGGTGGCGCACTGTGCCTCTTGATCCATCTCCGCCAGCCGGGGGTCTGGAGTGGAGCCGTGCTGAATGGAGCGATGTGTGGGATCTCTCCAAAGTTCAAGCCGCCATGGCCGCTCGAGAACTTGCTCTCGTACGTGGCGGCGCTAGCTCCGACTTGGGCGATCGTCCCCACCAAGGACATTCCCACCGTGTCCTTCAAGGAGGCCTGGAAGCGCGAGCTCGTCAAGAAGAACCCGGTGCGCTACTCCGGGAGGCCGAGAGCTGGGACGGCACTGGAGCTTCTCAGGGTGGTGAGAGAGCTGGACGAGCGGTTTCCAGAGGTGACGCTGCCGCTGCTGGTGATCCATGGAGAGCTGGACGTGGTGACCGATCCGGAGGGGAGCAAGGCCTTGTATGATCGATGCAGCAGCAAGGATAAAACGCTGAGGATCTACCAGGGAATGTGGCACCAGCTCGCGGGCGAGCCTCCGGAGAACTTGGAGAAGGTGTTTGGAGAAGTCTACTCGTGGCTGGAAGATCACGCCGCCGCCGCCGCCTCGAGTTCTCAAGAAAAACCATGAAATCCTTGTCCACCACCTTTCTCCATCGCAAGAAAACAATCTTCCAAGCTTGATCTTGCAACTATACTCTCTCGATCTGCTGCGAGCTCTCGTCTAGAAGACGACCATGATCCTTGCAACGTTTTAAGATTATTGTCCACCAGCCTCTCTCCATCGAGAGAAAACAATCTTCCAAGCTTCCAAGCTTGATCTTGCAACTATACTCTCGCAGAGGAGCGAAAGTTTTCTACGCTCTCGATCGTGGTGGCGAGCATGAATTGTGGATGTTGATATTGGCGAGGAGCAAATAAGCTCCGCCATCGCCGGGGTTGAAGTGGAAGACGTTGCTCGCGATCTCCGCTCCATGGCGGGCCTCCGTACACGCCCCGAGCAAACACTTCCAGTCGAGCGCGTCGGGTGCGTACGGCATCCCCGCGATGAGGCCTCGTGCGTCGTCCACGTGTCCGGATCTGGCCAGCAGCGCCACCATGACACGGTAGTACGGCTTGGTTGGCGCCAAGCCATAGTCGAATGCCATGGAGATGAAAGCGCTCCTCCCAACCGCGAGCTTCCCCCCGTGGTTGCAAGCGATGATCGCCACCAGGAAGCTGATCTCGTCCACGGCGCTCTCCACCGCCATGGAGTCGAAGATCTGGAGCGCGCTTTGGCACAGCCCCTGGTTCGTGTAAGCCGCGAGCATCGAGTTCCAGCACGCAATGTCGGGTCGCTCGGGCATTGTGTGGAAGAGGAGCTCGGCGCGTTGGAGGGCGCCGTTTTGCGCGCAGGCGGAGAGCATCGCGCTCCAGGAGATGGCGTCACGCTGCGGCATCTGGCGGTGGAAGAGATGGAGCGCGCTGGAGAGGTGGCGGTTCTGGGCGTAGGCTCGCAGGAGGGCGTTCCAGGAGACGATGTTGTGCTCGGGCATGGAGGAGAAGATCTGTGTGGTGTTGTCGAGGAAGCCAGCGGCGGCGTAGGCGGAGAGCATTGCGTTCCAGGAGACGAGATCCAGCTCCGGCATGGAATCGAAGACGCATTTTGCGTCCTCGAGGAAACGCCCGTTTTGGGCATATGCCGTGAGGATGATGCTCCAGGAAACCACGTCCCTCTGTTCCATCCGATCGAATTCTTGTTTTGCTAAGTCGAGGCGGTTTGCTTGCACGTAAGCGGCGAGGAGGGAGTTCCAGGAAAAGAGATCTCTCCTTGGACAAGCATCAAACATTCGTTTCGCTTTCGCAAAGCGCCCACTGTGGGCATATGCGGAGATCATAGCGTTCCAGGCTGCTACGTCGCACACTTTCATCTGGTTAAAAAGGTTCTCAGCCTCGTCAAGGTGGCCGTGTTTCGAGTACTCCGCTAGCAGCGTTGTTTCTAACACTATATCTCGCATAGGCATCTCGTCAAAAAGCAACTTGGCGCTGTTAAAATGCCCGTTCTGGGCAAGTGCTGCAAGCATGACGGTACAGGCCACCAAGCCGTGGTGAGGCATGCGGTTAAAAATCTGCCATGCCTGCTCTACGTTGCTTTCTTGCGCGGCCGCGGCCAGCAGTGCATTCCAGCTCACACCATCGTGCTCAGGCATTTCATCAAAGATGTTTTGCGCGTCTACAAGATACCCACACTGGGCATTTACAGAAACCATCGCTGTCCAAGAGACCAGGCTTCTCTCCGGCATTTCTTTGAAGATTCTACGAGCGCAATCGAGATGGCCCTTCTGGGTAAAGGCAGCGAGAATCGCATTCCAAGCAACGAGGTTTCTAGCAGGCATGTCGTCGAAAACCTTGTAAGCCTCCCGCAAGCACCCGCTCTGGGCAAGCGCACAGAGCATGAGCACCCAAGAGAAGCAGTCCTTGATCCGGATGGAGTCGAACACCCGGCGGCATTGCTCGACCCCACCCAATCGCCCATACATCTCGATGAGCTTGTTGAGCATGAAAACATCATCTCGGCAGAGAGATCCCCTCACCCTGGAGCCAATCTCCTCCGCCAGTGACAAGCAGTGGCAATTTGCCATGAGCCGGATCCACTCCCTCCTGCAAATTGGGATCCATGATCCAAGATGGGACCCAAGCTCGCGTCCACAGAGAACTTGGCTCGATCCATCCATGCAGGGAGGAGAAAAGAGCTAAAGATTTTTGTACATAGCTAGATAGCTATGATCTCCATGTTTACCGTTTGATCATCTGGGAGATCGTGCCGCAGCCATGAGAGATTGCGATACATTCCATCCAGAGATGGATAAGATTGGACCAAAGCAAGTTGCAAACCCTAGACCTTAACGTAACCCATTTGTTTACTGGGAATGCCCCACGCGCCTATCAGCCAAGGGGTCCATATGTTTGTCTTTGGCTTGCGCCACCCTGCCATGCGCAAGTTACGTGTGCACATTGTGAATTATTGGCCTCTATGCTAACGTGGTGGCACTTTCTGGTTTGTATCATTGTACCCCATGGCATACAGATTCAACATACGTAAATCTCAAAGATTGGAGCGTAGTGCCAATGGTTGTTTGTTTTCAAGGGCTGACGAGTGGCACCAGAGGTGGCGGCTCTAAAGTTACATTGACAAACACGGAGCCACAGAAAAAAGGGGGAGAATTCTTGTTTGAGAGGGAACGTAAAGTTGGCCAAGTATGCAACGCTGATTTCTTGTATTCCTGGAGCGGCAAATTAGAGACCAACACGTTAACTCGCAGGATATTCCAGTGGGTGTGTATATTCCACACAACAAAAAGGGAGGCACTTGGAATTGTGGGGATGGAAAAGAGGAGGAGTCAGAGGCTCGAGATCAAGCCTTTCTTCTTCCATAGCTTTTGGCTTTTCTCCTCTTTGTCAAGCTCTGAAGCTTTCAATCCCTTGTTCTTCGTAGAAGGGAGGAATAAAGTTGGATCTAGAAGATGTGTGCTATCGAGGATGGTGCTTCTAGCGGTATCACGGTGAACGAGAGTGCGTTATCGCTGGATTCCTTGTCTGGAGGGGATGAAGGGTCTTCTAGCGTCAGCTCGCTGGCGGAGGAGGAGGAGATCGTGTCGGGATTGGATCAAGCGCGATCTATCTCGAGCAAGAAGAGGGTGAAGATGATGTGCAGCTATGGCGGCCGGATCTTGCCCCGGCCTCACGACAACCAGCTGCGTTACATGGGTGGAGAGACCCGCATTCTGGTGGTGAAGAAGGAGATTGCGTACAAGGATCTCATGGCGAAGCTCTCACACCTTGCCGGGAAGAGTTTTCTTCTCAAGTACCAGCTGCCTAATGAAGATCTGGACGCGCTCGTGTCGGTCACCTCGGACGAGGACGTCAAGAACATGATGGACGAGTTTGACAAGATGGTGAGTCGAGACCGATCTTCCGATGGAGCTGCGGTGAAGCTGAGGGTGTTTTTGTTCGATCCTCACGGCCCTTCCAAGTCGCCATTGTTCGATCCATCGGCAGTGCTCGAGTACTCGTCCGACGAATCCGTCATGGATCCAAGCTCCACAAGCTCGGGGTCAAAGTTTGCGGCCTCGCCGCCACTCCTCGCGACCAATTCCTCCTCGTATCACCACCATCCACCTCGCAAATCCAAGATGGGCGCTGCGCAGCAATTGCGGGATCACGAGTTTGGGTCGCTCAAGGCGTACCAGCGCAAGCACCAGGCCCAAGATCAGCATCACTCCCCGGTGGAGCCGGAGAACAATCACAGCGAACGACGAGGAGGTATGTTCTACAACCAGGATGTTCCATCCAGTGGCCAGCTCCACCCCCATCACTATCAATTCGTTGATGGATTCACCAGCAGCGAAGCAAGCCGCGGGATCAAGCCTCCCTGTCACTGCTGCGCTGCGGAGCCATCATCTTCTTCGTCATCGATGCTCCCCCCGCGACATCCTGTTGCACAGCGATCCCTGAGTCCCTACCACCATCACTCCCCTGTGCGTACAGGCTACTCGATCAACGAAACCCAAGCCCACTTCTGCGGACCTCGCTACTATAATCCTCCATCTTATTCTCACCACCACCACCCCCACCACCATCACCACCTCCACCACCTATATAACAATGCGTGAAAAGATGGTGTCGGGCAAGGAAGAAACTCTTAATACAACCTTTATATAGAAGGAGGAAGAAAGAGGGCTCTAAAACAAGGAGGGCTCTAGAACAATAGATTCTTAATTTTTCTCATTTTTCGGGTCTGTAAACGCACAGAGAAGCGGAGATTACCAAAACAATTTGTATATACGAGAGAAAAAAAACACACTTTTAATGGAAGAAGCAAAGTCCGATGTACCTGATAAGTATGCTAGCTAGTAGCGAGGACTTGCAGCAGCAGGAGAAGCGTGGACCTCTCGCTGATGTTGTTGATGATGCTGCTGCTGGTGATGAGATCTCGGCACATTCCCATTGCGTTGCTCTCTGAAGATCCGTAGCAAAGCGGAGGCCTGGCACGAAACGTAAAGAGGATGCAAGTCCGAGTCAGTCGCTGCCTGTGCCTTGACATATTTGGACGTTCCATACCTTCTCTTTTCCTCGCGCGGTCCCAGTCTGTGACAAAATGTGTAGCATCGGAGTGACACCCTCGTTGAAAATCATGGCTCGGTGCCTGGGACTGTTGGAGCAAAGCGTCAGCAACGCGGCAGCCGCATGCTCCTTCCCGCGCTGGGACCCGGCTTCCACGACTTCCACCAGAGCTGGAATTCCTCCGTCCTCGGCAATGGCGCTGCGTCCCTCCGACACCGTGGACAAGTTGGTCACCACCGCCACGGCCTTGTCCACCATCCCCAGCCTCGGCTCGCAGATGAGGTCGATGAGAGGCTTGACGGCTCCGGCCTTGACCACCTTGTTCTTGTTGTCGTGGCATATCGAGAGGTTGAAGAGCGCGGTTGCCGCATCCTTCTTCCCGCGAGGAGTTCCGGACTTGAGTAACTCGACCAGCGGCGGGATGGCGCCAGAAGCGCCGATGAGTGCCGTGTATTCCTGCTTCACCGAAAGGCTAAACAGCGTGGCTGCCGCGTTTTGCCTGGCTTCCGGGTTTCCTTCCGAGAGGACGCTGATGAGAGGCGGGATGGCGCCCGAGTCCACAATGTCGTGCTTGTTGCCGTCGTTGAGTGACAGGTTGAGCAGCGACGTGACCGAGTCCTCCTGGACTTTTGGATCCGCGGAGCTCAGCAGTGCCACCAGCGGTTTGATGGCGCCAGCGTTGGCTATCCGGATCCTGTCCTCGGCGTTGTTCTTGGCGAGGAGTCTCAGCTCCGCCGCAGCCGTCCTTTGCATGTCCAGAGATGGCGCGTCCAAGTCCTGGATCAGACTCCTTATCTTGCTCTCCTTGTTCTCGTCGTTGCCAATGATGTCGAAGAGCTTCTCGCTGTTACCACCAAGTTTCAGCCTCGACCTCTCCTTCCTGTTCCTGTAGAGAAACCTGGGTGACTTCTCCTCGAGACTGTCCGAGGCTGCGTCTCCGGAGAGCTCGCCGCTGAAGCGACGTCGACTCCCAGGAGAAGCAGCACCTCTGCTGGAACCGGACGGCTTGTGCTGGATGCCTACCAAGAAGGATCTCATGTCAGGCTCCTCGCCGCCACCTTGCTCAGGATCGTGGTTCCCGTCCACCATCTCGGACGAGGACACTGGCAGCGACTCGGCCTCCACTCCACTGCCTTTGGTGCCCGACGACACGTCCTGCTCTAGCAGCTGCGGAGGAGGCTTGGAAGGAGTGATGAGCTCCCCCAGCTCGTCAACTTTCGGGGGCTCGGGGAGTGGCACGTTGTGCATCTCACACCAGTTTGCGATGAGCGCCTTGACGGTGTAGTTCGGGATCAAGTTGGTGTGAGAGATCACTTGCTGCGTCTTGGGACAAGTCCTGTTTCCTCGATCCACCCACTGTTGAATGTAAGCTCGTTCATAGGTCTGTCCGGAAGCCACGATGACAGGATCCGACATTAGCTGCTGCGATAGTGGACAGCAGAAGTCGGCAGGGATCGGAATGTTTTGCTGCTGGACGCTATCCACTTTCTCTGGAGCAGGATCTTGGGTGGTCATACTCAGCAGCGATGTAAGCTTGTCGATGACAGCAGCAGCGCCATCTTCCCTCGACTCCCTCTCCTTTTCCAAAGCGGCCTTCTCCTTGGCAATGCTTTCCAAGGACCCCAACTCCATCTCCTCGAGAAACCTTTTGAGCTGCGCTGGATTCACCTGGGAGCGGCCAAAGTCTTTGAGAAGGATGGCAATCTCGTCCGCCAGCTGAGAGTCACGGGCATTGATCGTGAACTTTAATCTCCGTAGCTCCTGGTGACAGTGCTCGATCTGCACTGAAGACGACGAGGGGCTCAGAAACAAACGCAAGAAGGAGCAAGGCTCTCATGAATTACCTGTGATCTTGTGTGACTAGAAATATACATAGAAGATAGAGGGATGGTTTCAATGACCCGACACATATCGCCAGCGATTTCTTGAAACCCAACGACGATCTCGTGACAGCGATAGATCTACACAAAAGCGCATTAGAAAAGAAGAAGAAGAAAAAGAAACTCTCACGCTCTTTCTCACACTCGCAACTTACCAGGAAAATCTTGCTCCTTCCAACGCTGCATTCCTCCACCGCGTCCCTGGCCCTGAGAAGAACGCTGTTGAGCGATTGGAATGGCGCTAACGCGGGCTTGGGCAGCGGAATCTTCACTTCACGGAGGTAATCAACGGCGGGCTTGAGCATCTTGATGCGAGCGAGCAGGCTATGGACGCTGGATCGCTGGAATTTGACGCTCTCTCGAGCCAGCAGCAGCATGTGCATGGAATCCGACACATCCGTGAGGATCACCTCGTCCTCCATCACCATTGCTATCAAGATTTCCACTAGTGAGCGCGCGCGATCCACTAGAGTAAAACAAAGAAAACGCATTAAAATACCATACCTCAAATCCCTGGAAACCCTTGCTGGAGCTCGCGATTGGAATGCCGCGGCGTGGATCTAAGATTTTAGCCCGAGGCGCGCGATGCCGCCGCGGCGGGGCGCCATGGCGCCATAGCCTAGCGAAACAAAGAGATAAAGAAACTCTCGCGCAATCGATCAGAGGGGGTGGACGTTTCCCATGGCGTACGGACCCATGTGGCTACTGACCACCGATTGTCAGCCGGGCTGCCTTCTCAGCCGTCGATGCGATGTCGAGCGAAATGAATGCGGTCAGTACGGTCGCGCATTGATTAACGGTGAGATGGCCCGCCACCTGGCGAGGCATAATCCATGTTTAAATGTATAAGTAAAGTTAAACTTCATGGTAATAAAACGTTTGACCGCGTCTTTTTCTACGAAGCTACGAGTAGAAGAATTCGTCTTCTCCTTCGATCAGGGAGTGTTTATACTTGCTATAGTTTTTCTCTTTGGTTGTTTCTTCGAAGCCAAGTTCTCTCTTCGTGCATCATTGCCGAAGTTTAAAAGAACTTCCGCGGGATCAATCGCTCTCTTGCTTGCTCCCTGCGATGTTTCTCGCCAGAGATCAGCAATGCTGCGATGGGTTTCGTGGCAGATCTCGTCGTTGGAGCGCTGGTATCCATCGTCGACTTGGTCAGCAGCTTGCTCCTCCAGTCGCTCTCCATCGTCCTGCTAGCTGCGATCCATCTCTTGAGGGGCTTGGTCACGATCGTCCTGCGAGCAGCCAAGCTCTTGATTCGTGCACTGGAGATCTTTTTCGATGCGTTGCTTGATGCGCTGTTCGCCGTCCTCGTCCGGATCTCATCTGTGCTGCTCGTGTTGGTTGTCGAGATCTGGAGGCTGCTTGTCTCGTTTCTAGCTCGAGCTGTCCGCGAGTTCATTGCTGACGTCCACACGGCTCTTGACAACACACTTGGCATTCTCGTTGCTCTTGGAAAGCTGCTGGGACTTTCGCTCTACACGGTCTCGAAGAACCTGATTCGCGCCGTGGTCCATATCCTCGATAACTTATAGCTGCTGCTTTGCTCTTCTTTTTACTTTTCTTGTCTTCCACCTCGTCGTGATCAATGTATACAAGCTGGTAAAGAATGTTGCACGCCCGCAAGCATTAGCACAAGTTGAAGCTAGAAAATCAAAGTTACCGGTAATTAAGTCTATCGGGGATGCGGGGAGTCCAACGTTTCCGAGAACGCAGGAGAAGGATCAAACGGCACCGGAAAAGCTTTGATGCTTGACGACCTCCGGAATGATCCGATACTATCCATTGAAAGCATGTACTGGGACGCGTTGTTCTCGATTATAAGAGCGTCGTCGAGCTCCTTCACGACACCAGCCATGTCCGGTCTACGTGCTGAGCAGGTCTCCACGCTTGCATAAGCCACCTCCACTACTCTCCACATTGCCTCCGGTGTGTAGCTAGCGCTGATACTCGGATCGATGATCGATTGAATGTTAGCTTCGCTTATGGACTTCCTGGCCTGCAACAAACACAGTAGAAATTCAATGCCTTGTCTAGCAACAAGTTAAACGAAAACTCACCCAGTCAACCAAACTGGCCTCTGAACGGGGACGGCGTAAGTTCAGAGGCTCGCGACCACATACGATCTCCAACAATACGACGCCAAAACTAAAGACGTCGCTCTTGGTAGTGAGCACCTGTGTCATGTAGTACCTGCAAGCAAAAAATACATGGCGACTCAGGTTATCACGGAGGATGGTGACTTACTCTGGATCAAGATAACCAGTCGTTCCTCGAACTTCAACCGAGACGAGGCTGTCGTCTTCCTGCGGTGCAAATCGCGAGAAACCGAAGTCCGCGACTCTTGCGTTCATGCTGTCGTCAAGGAGAATGTTACTCGATTTTACATCTCTGTGAATGATGGGACGCGGGCCACTCGTATGCAAAAAGTTCAACCCTGCAATGGTCGGATGATCAGTCTCCAAACAAAACTGAAATATACTCTACCTCGAGCGGCTCCTATCGCGATAGATAATCTGGTTTGCCAATCGAGCGGCTTTCTTGTTGCTGCCTCGCCATAAAGTCGGTCTTGTAAAGTACCATTTGACATGTAAGGATAGACGAGCATTTCGTGTTGGCCTTCCGTGCAGTAGCCAAGCAAAGGAACCAGATTCGGGTGTCTAATCTTGGATAAGAGCGTAAGCTGTCACAAGCTCCAGAATCAACAAACGTGTTTAACTTCATCGAACTCGCAGCTTACCTCAGCAGTGAACTCACGTAGGCCTTGTGATGAAGTTGATGATCGCACTTTGATCGCCACCTCCTGTCTGTTAATCAGCGTCCCACGGTACACGTATCCAAATCCACCTTCAGCTATCTTAATCCCGATTGCTTCTTCCAGTTCTTTCAGCATGTACTGCTTAATGGCGATTGGTTCTTTGTTTACTTTCAGCTCCATGCTCCTTTGATCTGTAAAGTGATATGAGAATCCATTTTATGGGACATGGGACGAAAAACACTTACAAATTCTCGGAGAAGACTGAGGCTCCACTGGCGGGGTTCCCCTCAGTGCTCGAAACAGCTTAGTGATACAAAGTGCCGTGACCATAGTCAGCGATGTCAAAGATATCAAGACCGTGCTCATGAGTCCAAGCATGGATAAAGGACTTTGGTGTGGTCTTTCAAGCAGCTTTCTGGAAGAAAACCTGAGGCCCCTTGGCGTCAGAAAACTCGGAGACATGAAGCTTACCGGCTGTAAGTGAATTTTGGAGCGAGAAACAGTTCCAGAGTCGGCATGGTTGTCACGAGGCCGCTTGGAGCTGGCATCAAACAGTAAAGAAGTAGAGTGCTGTTAGCGGGATCAAGAGGAACCTGGATGACAAGATCCTTGGACGTGTCGACGTTGCGGAGTAGTTTTGAGTTGATCGAGATGTCTAATGCTGGCGGCTGTTTGGCAATCTTGTCATGTCTGAAAACTCCGCGGACGATGAAGCTCTGGCCGGTTATGTTCATTCTAGAGCAAACCTTCGTTTCTCTTGTAGCCAATTTGCTCCCATTCGAAAAAGAAGTGGCCACGCTTTCCTTCCAAGAGGCAAGAGCAGTAACCTCTGCAACAAGGAGTCGAATTACAACAGTACTGCCGAATTCCCGATTTACTCCTACCTTGATCCGAGCTGACCACCGGTCCTGCTTGTAGTAGCACAAGGCCAGAAATCACCAAAGTCGCAAAGAATTTCCATTGTTCATGAGGAAGCATCTCTTATCTCCTCCGCCAATGAATTCGATCATGAGATCGATCAGGGATTGCGATGATGAACTGTTGCCGCAACTACAGGAGCAACAATTCAGTCCCAAACAGGGAAAGTCAAAGAAGAATCTCTCGAGCCAAAGCAAGCAGCGAACAATCACTGATGGGAAACGAGAAAAAAAGAAGAAAAGCAACAGGAATGCGAAGGATCGATCACTGTATCCACAACCTTGGGGCAAGATCGGGGAGTGTGATGCGCTCCAGCGCTGGGGCAGCAAAACCCTACCTCGAATCGAATCAGGCCGGCATGGCGCATGAGACTAGCTCTTCCTCCGCGAGATGGGCCACATTTGATTCCCCCAAACGAGCCGTCAAACCCTTTGTTAAAAGAGGGTTTATACTAAACACCCTAGAGCGGGAAAAAATAATTTTAAATTGTAAAGGCGGGAAACTAGTTTAAAAATGAGCTTCTAGAGTTCTCTATCCAGATGCGCCATAGCCAATGGCGTTTAGCTTGCGATGGCCAGTGTTTTGTGTGTGGCTACACACGGATCCTCCCACTCCTGGCCGCAATTCCTCTCTAGGGCTAGGGTTCGTGTGTCTCAACAGCGATTGCGCAAGGCCATTTGCTGGAAATCGTCATCGCCGGTGTGGCCGTGCGGCATCTAGGGTCGCGGATGGGAGATTGGAAGATAAGGCGCTGGATTCTAGCAAGGATGATGACGATGCCATGGCCGCGCAGCTCAATGCGTTCTCCTATTCCGGTAGCTGCAAGGATGGGTCTCTAGTCTCGGTGGAAGTGCTCAAGCCCAAGCACTCGAAAGGTACAGTGGAAGTTCTCACGGATTCCTTCTGCGATCTTCTCTGGGGTCCTCTCACTTACAGGCCGCTCCTCCGGATGATCGTGCAAGAGAATTTGATCGAGACCCAGAAGCTCTTCCCCAAGAATGTGATTCTCGTGGCCTTGTACGAGCAAAGCTCCGCCAAGGTTGTGGTTGGTACGGTAGAGGTTTATTTGAGCAGTGCTGGTGTCTCGAGTCCCAATCCTCCTCCCGACGCTCCATTTCTTTGCAACATGGCTGTCAAGCAGAACTATAGAAGGTGGAAAAATTCCATTTTGTCTTTCACCGCTCTAAGTTTGTTCTTAGTGTGTACAGGAAAGGCATAGCTGGGCAACTTCTCAAGGCTGCGGAGGAGCTGGCTGTGACAATGGGTTCCAACGAAATGTACCTTCACTGCCGCTTGATCGACAAAGTTCCCCTGGGAATTTACCAGCGAGCTGGATACGAGGTGGTCTCTACAAGCAGCGTCTTCTCCTTGCTCGTGCTACAACGCAGGAAGCACCTCATGCGTAAACGCCTGTGATAGCAACGAGATCTTCACAGAAGCTGGCTCCTTTTCAGCACGAATCAGTTGAATCTTTCGGAAGAAGTGGCTCTGTGATCTCGGCATCGTCCTGCGTCAACCGACACGATTAGATACAGCAGATGGTTAACAGAAAACAGAGACTACGTACTGAAGCCGGAAGAATCGCCTCTTGAAGAAGTTGGCAACGTTTGTTAACGATCAAGCAAGCACAGCCATCTCCCAGATGTTCACGGAAGTTCGAATGGATCCCAGGAGCCAGTCTACGGCGAGGAGTACTGAGACATCACCAACATATCTTGAGAAACCGACCGCCTGGAAACATAAAAGAATAATGTAAAGACACAATTTTTTTCCTTCTCTAGAAGGAACACTCGCCTGCAATGCAGTGATCACAGTGATCACTCCAGCTTGTGGAACGGAGGCACACCCGATAGCGGCTAAGGTCGAAGCTATCGCTAAAACAAAGAGCTTGGCGAGATTTAGCTCCAGACCATGAGCCTGTATGAGATCACAATAGATTGCCAATGAAAAATAGCGACTCAAAGCACACCTGACAAATAAAAAGCACTGATACTGCTTCATATAGAGCTGACCCGTCGCGATTGATGTTAGTTCCCAAAGGTATCACAAAACTCACGAGACTGGGATCACATCCGGAAGCCTCAGCACATTTCATTGTCAGTAAAGGCATTGTTGCAGCGCTGGATGAAGTTCCTAGACCCAGAAGCAGAGCTGGAGCAAAATGCCTGTCAAACATAGTTGTAGGTGAGAAGGAAACGAAAAGCTTGTATGCTTACATGAGGAGCTTGAAAGGATTTTTCTGTGAGAGGAAGAACCGCCAGCGAGTGTAATAAAAATCCTCCTATTACAGTCCCCACGTCCACTCCAAGGGCCTTCAACAGATGGAACACATTGCAGGCTTTCAAGAGTGTCTTGCATGCTAACGAGGCAACTCCAAAGGGAGTAAACGCTATAACACCTAAGATCTGACAAGAAAAGTGTGTGAGCGGATTAGAGCTTGAGAAAGTTCTGGCTTACAATTTTTATGACAACGCTGTTGCAAAGCTCGACAAGCGTCACTAGTGGATACGCGCGCTCGCCTAGAAAGAAAGCACAACAGGTATGAAGTCTCAAGGCAGAAATGCAAAAGCGTACCAACAGTGTTGCAGCAGAAGGCAAAAACAGTTGCAAAAGCAACAATCCCAAGGTAGTTTGGCTCAGCAACTATATTGGTTGGAATAAGTTTCCGGCCGATGTTTAGAAACGCTTGAGCCGCGGCCGCAGCTGCTTCGTTATCTTCTGCACCACTGGATCCATAAAGACGTTAACCATTTCAGAAGAGGGCATTCACTTACGGATCTGGAGAGTTGAGGTTGGCGCAGCCTGGGAGAGAAGACGATACAAAAGGCAGACTCTTGCCTGGCTTGATGACATAAAACAGAGTCATTCCAAGTAGCACGGCCAGTAGCATGGACAAAATATAGTAAAGAAGAGACCACCTAGCCTGCACAGATCTAAAAACCTCATTTTTCCGAGCGAAAAAAAGAAGAGCAGAAACTTACCCTCCCCCTGCCTGCCTCAAACTAAAGACTCCACTCATAAGTGAAGATACTACCAAGGGTAAGACGAGCTGCTGCAATGCTCGAAGATACAGCTCTCCGGGATAGCCTGCAACGCATTCCTTTAGTTTCGGATCATAGAAATTTGGAAGCATACCTATGAGATCGATTGTTAGACTGGAGCAGTTTGAATTGTAGAGGGAAGCTCCAAGTCCAACTCCGGCAGCAACTCCCAGTAATGTCCACCAGACCAACATCTCCTTCCGTAGTAACGTCGCGAAAAGAGCCATGAAGAGATTTGAGACGCGAGATTCATCCGCAAGATGCTCCAACATTCTGGGACTCCCAACAGCCAAGGAATGCGTGAGGCGACAAAAGAACTTCAAACAAGATGTCCCACCTGCTAATTGTCCACGGTTGTCGCTAATAATAAAATCTGAAGAGCTTGGTGGTGATGATTTTGGCCATGGATTTCCAGACTTGACGCTGCAAACTTGCTGTGGCGATGGGCCGTCCCATATCTCCCAACGCTCCTGGAAAAGAGAAGCCTCCAAATAACAACCTCCTGTAGCTGGTTGCTGCTGGCAAACTTTTCTCTCGTCTTCGCAGCTTCTTCTCCAGCTGCCGAATCGAACAAGGCCTCCCAGCCTTGCTCCCATTCCAGGCTTGACGCATCACACAAATCTAGCTTATCCATTCCATCTGTGGGAAATCATCCGACAGCGGCTTCACAATCGCGGACGAACGCTCCAGGCTTGATACTTTGGCCTTGCTGGAGATGGAAGGCACTGATAGATGCCAACCTTGGAGGCTACGGCCATTTCCTATGATCGATGAGGCAGAAGAAAAGTTGTTCGGCACTGCTAGAGCTCCAAGTGAGACTCGAAAAGAGCCTTTGATGATCCAATCGTAGAGAAACTCGTGCTTGCACTCGTAGTCAGTGACCAACACCCCTCGATCAAGCGGAAAAAAATGTGCCAGGCCTTGCAAGCCATGAGAAAAACCTTCGGCCTCGACAACGTTGGTCTCTGGAAGTGAAGAGCCTTGCCTTTGAAAAGCGTGACTGTCGCGGGGCCCGTGAAGGAAGACGTAGTTCTTGGTTGTAGCTTAGTTCTTGATTGGTATCAGGGAGAATTCACCTCCGTTTCTGGCGCTCGCTCTGCCTTTATGTTGCATGGATCATAGAGCAAGAACCTTGGAGCTTCTTGCTGTGATGTCCGCGGGAATGAAAACGATCTACTGCATTTCGATCGCCCTCTTAGAAGACGATTCTAAGATTCTGCGATTTAAGGTTAGGGCGCCTCGAGCAAGAACCCTAAATTCTAATCCTTATGGAGGCCAAAAAGGCGAGCGCTTGCACCACCATTGACAGCCTGCCAGACGCTGTTCTAGCGCTCATCCTCGACATCATAAAGTACAACGTCATGTACCTTTTGGTAAGCAAGAGGTGGCACAGAATTGGCAAAGAGCTTGGTCTCGTAATAATCGATCTGCATGACTTGCATGAGGATAAGCCACCGGAGGGCAGGGTTTTCAAGCTGGTGCAGCAATCCATCCGACAGCTCCTCATTCACAAATACCATTACTTCTTACACAAGAACTACTCATGGATCACAAGCATTGCCACCACTCTAGAGGAGCTCACCATTGAAGGTGTGAAGCACCAGGACAGTACCTTTGATCTAGAGCTGGTCTCCAAGGCGTGTCCCAAGCTCAAGTTTGTCAGCTTTTACAGGCTTCACATTGTGGCCAGGGGCGAGGAGTTCAAGTACCAACAAAAGGCTCCGTTAAGCCTTACATTTCCGGCTCTCACCCATTGCAGCTTAGATAGGGTGATTGGTCTAGACCTCGCAACAGAGCTTCTGCCTTCGTGTCCAGTGCTGGAAGAGCTCTCGTTATGCGTGTATCACTCCCCCGGCGCCCTATCATCGTCAAGCTTGAGAGTGTTAAGCCTTGAAACAATAGACGGTAGCGGCATTCTCGAATTGGATCTTCCCAATCTAGAGACTGCGTGGATCGGTGACTGCGAGAAGCTCAAGATGAGAGCTCCACGTCTAAAGAGCCTCTCGCTTGGCAATTGTGGGAAGCTTGTGGGGAAGATGGCAGTGCCCGGGGAGCTTGAGATTGTATGTAACGCGTTGGAGACTCTGACGTTGAGATTGGGTGCGTTCGAGACAACGATTGCCTCTGTGGAGAAGATTCATTTCAAAACTGTGACGTTGAACTGCATATCACTCTTTGACCGATCTTGTCCTCATGACGTGGCATGGAAGGTGTTCGTGTTGGAACAGTTTAAAGAGTGCCAGGAGTTGAGCCTCCTTGACTGTTTTGAAACATATTGTGAATGTGGCAGGGGTTTTCCAAGTACGATTCAAGAACTTCCGAGGCTAAGGAAGGTTTGTTTAGACGCGTCCCGGGGGGGACCTTTACAATTTCGTGTCTTGCTTGATAAGTTTGTGCAATGCTGCCCAGCTTTGCAAAGTATCGTCTTGTTTGGGAGAGAGGGCAAGCTTAGTGAGCTCCAACAGCTAGCAGCTTGTGTGGCCAACATTCCGGTTACCATTTTGCCCAGAAACTAAAATTACTAGATGAAATAGAAACATTTTGAAGCTTTATCATTTCTCTGCCAATGCGTGCCTGATGATGCTCTGTGGAAGCGCAGCGAGAAGGAGGCAAAAGATACTCCTGACCATCAGCCGCTACATTTCACAGCGCTGTAGCAGCTCCGAGACTGATTTTCACGGCATCTCGAGGCTGGAAGAAGTGGTGAGCATCATTAGAGAATGTGGAAATTCCAGGGATATAGGCAAGGGAAGAAAGAGCCACGAGTTTATCTTGCAATCGGGAGGAGAGCATAACAAGTTCGTGGCTAACCTGCTCATAGAAATGTATGGAAAATTTGCAGTATTTGCAGGAAAGTTTGCAGTATTTAACGGGATTCCTTATCCCCACAAGTATTCCTGGAAGATTTTGCTGCAGCTATACATAGACAATGGTTTGCTCCACTCGGCAGAGCAAACATTTAGGAATATGCCAGTCGCGATTCGAGATTCGGATGCCATTGCCTGGAATGCTATGATGTCTGCATTTGCCCTGCACGGGCATCTTCTGGTTGCCTTAGATTTGTTCCACGCCATGCCGCATCGGACGGTCGTGTCATGGAACGCCATCATCGCCGCGCTCATCCAGGCCGCCCGTTTTGAAGCCGATGTTTAGAAACGCTTGAGCCGCGGCCGCAGCTGCTTCGTTATCTTCTGCGCCACTGGATCCATAAAGACGTTAACCATTTCAGAAGAGGACATTCACTTACGGATCTGGAGAGTTGAGATTGGCGCAGCCTGGTAGAGAAGACGATACGAAAGGCAGACTCTTGCCTGGCTTGATAACATAAAACAGAGTCATTCCAAGTAACACGGCCACAAAATATAGTAAAGAAGAGACCACCTCGCGATGAGACCAAGCCTGGACAGATCTAAAAGACCTCATTTTTCTGGAGCGAAAAAAAGAAGAGCAGAAACTTACCAAGGGCAAGACGAGCTGCTGCAATGCGCGAAGATACAGCTCTCCGGGATAGCCTGCAACGCATTCCTTTAGTTTCGGATCACAGAAATTTGGAAGCATACCTATGAGATCGATTGGTAGACTGGAGCAGTTTGAATTGTAGAGGGAAGCTCCAAGTGCAACTCCCAGTAATGTCCACCAGACCAACATCTCCTTCCGTCGTAACGTCGCGAAAAGAGCCATGAAAACGTGAGAGCCCGGACACGCGAGATTTGAAGAGCCACTCATCCACAAGAT